GCAACATTGCCTCCCCCTCTCTGTGGGCTATCAATCCTCCCTCCATATTTTCCCTCAGGAGCTGACACATGACAGAATAGCAAACTTCTCTCCTAAGCCCAACTTAAAACTGTACTTAAATTCATCTGTTCTGATTCAGAGTAGTGAAAAATCATTTTATGTGCTCTGAGCTGAGAGAGCAGGCAGACTTCATATAATGTTCCCTTGTAATCTATGGAGGCATTGGGATGGTTTCTACAATTCTAGAAATTATGACAAGGCATCCATAAAGATGAGACAGAAACCCCAGGAAGCAGTTCCAGTAGCTTAAAGGAACATTATTTAATACCCATTCATGGAAGTGTGGCAGCATTTAAAGACTTTATTTAAGTCCTTCACACAGTTGGAAAATGAATGTGCTGTAGGCTGGTGATGTAGAGGCCCACCACCTTTCCTGTCTCCCTCAGACTGAAGCTCCAGTATCTGAGGTTGTTCTGGCTTGTCACACTATTTTTATATTTCTAAAGAGTGATAGAGTCTGTTTAACTTATTTATTTATTTATTTAAAAGATTTATTTATTTATACAAGAATTGGGGTACAGTTGGAGGCGTGGGAGGGTGAGAGAATTCACCAGAGACGAAGTGGGGAGCAGAACAGGCAGACGGACTGAAGACACTGCTGAGGGGAGCAGCGGGCGAGACAGGAGAGGTCTGCCGCGCCATGTGGGTTTCTCCCTGGCTGGCCGGGAATCGAACCCGCGCTGCAGAGGCTGCAGATAGCTTCACAGTGCTGCGCTAAACCCGCTGCTCCACTGGGGAGGCCCTAGTCTGTTTAATAAAAAGCTCTCATCTTAAAGCCACATTCTTACAAAATTTGTCTTATTCAATTCCATTTCATTCAAATTAATTCAATTAAAGGAGTATTCATTGAATAACTAGTGGTACCTTACTAGGAGTGGGGAGAACATAAGAATGAATTGACCCCCCCCAAAACTAAGTGGATATTCAGCAATTCCTTAGAACTCTATAAACCATAGGACTGAGACACTGTTAAAATTGGACGCAGACTATTCAGACTTGCCCAATTCTTTTCCATTTTTATCATCTTCATCTTCTTCCTTCACCTAATAACTACTACACTCATTTATTCCACAAATCTTAAGAATCTTAAGGATTTAATTGTATGCCTGGCATAGAGGCAGTCTTGGGGAGAAAGCTAATGTTCTCAGTTACTGGCATAGCTTAGCTTGACAGTATCAAGAACCTACACTAAAGAGTCGTTATTAACAAGGGCAAGATAACAACCTCTCTAAACTCCAGTTCTTCATCTGCACGTGGGAAGAATAGTATGGTTGTATGGTTCTCACCTGACTGTGAAGACCAAAAGAACTAATGGGGGTAAAAGATTTAGCATATTTCTCAGTACAAGTATGTACTCAAGATTTGCTTTTCATCACCAACATCTTCACATCACCATCACTGTTACCATCATTGCCTACTTTGGAATAGAAATTCTTAGGGTCAATGACATGTGCATTTTAGGGATAACAAACAACCTATAACTCTCATTAACAAGTTAACAGGTAGTTAACAAGTAGTATGTATCAATAATTTTTGTTAACAGGTAGTATGTATCAATAATTAATAAATACTATCATAAAACACTAATAAAAATACTAAAAGTTCAGTATTTTAAATCTCTCCTTTATGCCTCTGCCTGTAAGGAAGACTGTATCTTGTTAGCGTCAAAAACGTTATCCTTTACAGTACTGAGCCTGCCAAATAAAGGGGAAAATGAAGGAAGCAAGAGGCTAGAGGACTACATGATAATGAACTGAGATAGAACTAGCATGAAGAGACTAGGGAGGGTTTTGCAGACGTGATTGAAAAAGAACATGGAAACTTGGAGAAGAAGAAGACAAAGACTTGAAGATAGCTTCTTTGAGGAGAGGGAATGAGACAGAGAGAGAGAGAGACAGAGAGAGAGAGAGCGTGTGAGCAAGCGCTGACTTCCTAGGCCAGCAGTTGGTACAGCACAAGGGCTCTGGGCTCAGAACAGCTCCATCCTTTATTTATTGCCCTCTGATAATTTTTTTTTTTTAGAGGCATTTTTTTTTATTTATTTGTTTATTTGTTTGTTTGTTTGTTTTGTTTTGTTTATACATGCACTGGGTACAGTCAGAAGCGCGGGAGGGTGAGAGAATTCACCAGAGCCAGAGCAGGGAGCAGAACAGGCAGAAGGACTGAAGTACACTGCTGAGGGGAGCAGCGGGCGCCAGGAGAGGTCTGCACACCATGTGGGACCCTCCTCCGGTGGCGGTGGAGCAGCCGGGGATTAAACCGGCGCCGCAGAGGCCGCGGGCAGCTTTGCAACCCAGCGCTCAACCACTGCGCCACCGGGGAGGCCCTGATAATTCTTAATAATTTTGAAACAAGGGACCTCACATTTTCATTTTGCATTGGACTCTGAAAATTATGTAGTCCTGCCTTGGGAAGTGATTTGTAAAATTCCCTTGTGGGAGATGAATACTTTTAGGGTTTTCTTCAGATTTAAACCACTTTTGGCAACTTGTGGGCGAGAGTATTCAACCATGGATATTTTGACTAAAATTCCAGGCACAGCTCATCCTTAAGGGGGTTCAGCTTCACCCAGATCCCATAGCAGAAAGCAGCAGCTCTTTTCTCTGTTCTGTGTGCAGGAATCCTCCTGCATCCTTCCCAGTCCAATCCCTCTGTAAAATCAGTGGAAAGTCTGTAGACAACTGCTAGTGTGTGTCCTTCCATCAGCCTGTGAATAAGGAGAATGTCTCACTAAAGAAGTTCAAACTTGGGAAGATGTGCATTTCCACTTCTGGGAGGATATTGTGCAGAGTCACTGTCTTTTCCTGCCCTTTACATTCAGACAGAAGGGCTCTGTGTAGAGAGGATAAAGTGCTGTGAGTTCAGCCCATTATGAGATGGTTTCAAGGGTCATTTTGATCTTGTCAGAATCAGCAGGCTTCCTTTCAGCAGACCTAAAAAGGCAGACAGAAATAATAAATGGACAATTTTGAAACTCTTTGTCAGAGTTATACTTTGAGGCCCTAACTCTGCCATCAATACTGACTTTTAGTCCCTCTTTCCATTTACCAGACCACCATTTTTGGATATGATTGCCCTCCATCTTTGACCACCACGGTCATCAACTTATCTTGCCAGCACTCTGTTAGCCAGTGATTTGTGATGGCTTCTCTATGTGCACCATAGTGCTTACGCTACAGACATGATGTATACCTCAGAGCACATATTGGTCTCTAATTTAGTGACTACGTGTCTGTAATAGCTGAGGTTGAGAAAAATCACCATCCTTGCCCCTCTGTTTTAGGGAGTCTGTGCTAAGTTGGAGGAATAGCTTCTCAATCACTAGTCAGAAATGACTACCTCTCACCTGCCTCTGCCTCATCAATAAATGGTACCACATTTCAGTTCCAAGAGACACATTCAAAACAAGGGTATCAAGAGCTCTGAATAGAATTATAAATATGGTAGAATCTAAAGGAAAACATTCAAATTCCAGAGATTATATATTATGCTGTATCCTGTGAAGGATTTAGACTCTTAAGAGTATTATCTCTCTCATTTATAACAGATTGTTCTACTGGTAAAAATTACAATTCCTGTCATTTTCTGATACTGAGAATAAAAATCACATATATTTTCTTCAGACACGGTATTTTAATTAAGTTGTGAAATAACACAGCAAGAAGTTCTAGATTGATTTTTGAAGAGTATGTTGCCTTCACTTTCTATGTCTCTGTCTTGATGAAAAATTTTAGTGTGTTATTTAAATGTTCCAACTCTAGAGCTAAGCATGCGTTAGATGGCATGGAATTCCATCAACCCCCTAATAATGAGGTGAATATGGTATGAAATAAAACTGTTAAAAAACACTTTACAGAGTAGTACAAATCTATAAGTATTACAGTAGGACCAACAGATATTAAATTAAAGTGGGCAATGTGTGTGTATGAGAAATCTGTGCAAGTTAGATGCTTCTCATTTGAACTAAACACATTGGTATGAGCCAGGGTTTCGTTTCTTTTCTTTCTTTTTTTTTACTCTGTGCGTGTCCAGTCTTCCCTTGAAAGGACCAGCACTTATTAATTGTGTTTGGTACAATGCTTGCTTCACAAAATCTTAATAGGCATTGTGCTAAAAATTAGTAGAAAGAGGTCTATGATAATGTAAACGTAAGATTCCCTGAGTTTAACAAAATCAAAAGGGTTTGCTTTCAGTGCTTTTAATTTGTAAAACTGCTTTGTGAGTGCCCGAGGATGGAGGGATACATAGGACAGAACACTTCCAAACTTGTTGGAACTTTGAAAGGCTTTTTGAGGAACATTTCAAGGAATTGGAATTCTGACCCCGCCACACCAGGACAGTTTTAGGGGAACTCTTATCTTGGTCCTAAGGGCACATTTGGAAGGGAAGGGTGGTGAGCGGGACAGTGCAGCCCACAGGGTTCTGCTGAACCCCTTAAGGGTCTAGGACTCTATGGCTATTATTGTGGCCAGTTGTCCTTCCCTTTCCTCACAGGCTCCTTCATGAATTCAATTCTACCGAAAGAAGCATGGACCACAGCTCTTTTATCAGATTAACTTGCTTGTGTTCTTTGAAGTTTGAGATCTTTGAAGTTCTCTTTTCCCTTGAGAGGTGAAGATCAGAAAACAAATGCCAAATGTCTTTATACGTTGTGAGATGAAAGTACAGTCAAGCCAGGGTGCTACAGCCCTAGTGCTCACACACTGACTCTTGGGGTTTCATGGTCTGATAACCCTCTGGGACCCAAGGATGTCAGAATCCTGCCTTGTTGATCACCTTCCCAGTGTCCTCTTCTCTGAGGTTCTGGACAGTGGTTCATCCTTGAGAAATAAGAAAATGCTGGAAAGTCATTTTACTTATAGCCACTTAGATGTTGGGTTCTACTGGAGAATGGGGCCTTTTGGATCTCACTCTAAATCCTATTATCTATCATTTTCCAGCCTCCAGAGGAAGAAGTTGAAGAGGAAGGGCAGCAAAATGATTGAAGAATAAGTCTGGCTTCCTATCCTCACCAGCTGCCAGCTTGGAGAAGCTGGAAAAGCAAGAGGAAGGTTCACAGGTCAGTGTCAAGTCTTTCAGAAACGTGCTTTACAACATGCCCCCTTCCATCTGATGTACTAACCTATAGGTTGATTGTCTTCATCCCTTTTGGCTGCTATAACAGAATGGGCAGCTTATAAACAACAGAAACTCTTTCCTCACACTTCTGGGTGCTAGAAGTCCCAGATAAGGGTGATAACATGTTTGGGTTCTGGTGAAGGTCCTCTTCTGGGTCATAAGCTGCTGACTTCTTGTTCTATTTTAATATGGCAGAAGGGACAAGAGAACTCTCTAGCACCTCTTTAATAAGGGCATTAATTTCAGTTGTGAGACTGCCCTAATGCCCTAATCACACCCCAAAAGCCCCACCATCATATTGGGCATCAGGGCTTTAACATACGAATTGAGGGGGGCATGGACATGCATACCACAGCAAACATGGACTTCTGATGATAAAGACAGAAAATAAACAGATTTGGGTCTGATCACAGCCTGTTTGATTGGATGACATATTGACACCGGATACCATCCACAGCTTCCTCTTCCCATGCAGGCACTAGAAGTCATAGGAAGGGCCAAGCCACATCCCTGCAGTGTCTGTCTATTTAGTGAAAGGGCGCCTGCACCAAAAAAGCATCCTACCCTGGAGTCCAACTGGGAAATAAGAGGAGGCAGGGTAGGAATCTGTCACTTTTGCCTACAGAATGAACCCACATAGCTATATATGTCTGCTGTTCTTTGAAGGAGTTGAGTGTGCAATTTGATTGACTTCTGTAGCTGGTTTGGAGAAGATTAGAATGAGCCATTTCGCTCCCTCCTTTCTTTCTCTGGGTAACTGAAGCCCATTTGGAAGAGCTAGTTCTCCCTTTCATTTCTGAGCCTGGTTTGGTTCTGATCTCCGCCCTGGGATCACAGACTCTACTGAATAGCATTCTGAAAGGTCAACTGGGCTACTTATATATCCTCAGGCACCTTGACACTGCCCCAGAGATAGGGAACTCTTCTGTTTTTTAAAAATTCTTTTCCTATTAAGAAATGTTTCCTTATATCGCACTTCATGCTTTTGTACTGCTCTTTGTGGAGACAGAAAGCAGCTGGATTTTATCTGTGGGTGAGTCTCCTGTGTGTTTAAAGATTCTTGGTTTTGATTTCTTTAGACTGAAAAATCTAGTCTTCACCTCTTTTTTGCAAATCTTATTTTCCTTCCTTTTCATCAATTTTTATTGTGAATTTCCCAAGAAAATGTTTCCTTAAATTTGTCAAGACCTTTTTAAATTTACAAAATTGCACATCTCTCTCCAGATTTCTTGTGTAAGAATTACAAGGGCAAAGGTGGTTTGGAGCTTGTGGCAGTGTAATATCAGGTCGGGGCCAGAGGCTCAGGGGAGCGGGTGGGGGGTGAATTCACCAGAGGTTGAATGGAGAACAGAAAAGTGGGATTTATTGAAATACTTTGCAAGGGAGTGGGGAAGCCAGACTGAAAAGATCTGCACACCATAAAGGTTTGAGGCTCCCTTTTATAACCTGTTATCTGCTGGGATGTCTAGTTTTGGGTATTGACCTTTGACACAGAATGTGTCCTAGCCTGATTTTAGTATTCCTGGTCAATGTGATCCAGTCTTAGGGCTGGTTCCCATAGCAACCTTAACTATTTCTTAATCTATTCAAGCCTCCCAAACTTGCCTGCTGGGCAGGGAGTGGGCTTAGTTTTTAACCTTTGATTCCCCAACAGAGCTTGAACAGATATTACCATTCTTAAACAGGATAAGTAAATTATTGGGATTTAATGATGTGATTTATAGGAAATATATATTGCATTCACATGACCAAAATATATTCCTCATACATGTTTGGTCTCCCTCCACATTTGCTCACAACTCCCCTTGGGATTCCTTAAGTGTTGAGACTATTGAAGGTGTCTATTGTTATGTTAATGAAGGTATCTTTTCAGAAACTGCAAAAAAAAAAAGGGTGTTCTATTGCCAAAGGCCAATGACTTAATTACACTTGCCTATATAATGAAGCCTCCAATAAAACTCAAGAGAAGGGGGTTTTGGTGAGCTTCTGGGTTGGTGAGCATGAAGCTTTCGGGGAGAATGATGTACCTGGAGAAAGTATGGAAGCTTCATGCCTTTTCCCCATGCTTTGCTCTATGCATCTCTTCTGCCTGGCTCTTGATTTCTACCCTTCGTAATGAATCAGTGACCAAGTGAGTAAACTGATTTCCTGGGTTCTGTATGCCGTGCTAGCAAATTAATGGACTCTGAGGAACCATTGATTTATAGCCAGTCATCCAGAAGCACAGATAATAATCTGGGGCTTGCTATAGGCTCTTCAGTCTGAGGAAGGGATTGTGAAGACCCCTAATCATAGCTGGTTGGCCAGGGGCATGGGTTTGTCTGGGGTTGGAGGAAGGCTTCTGACTGGAGGGCAGTCTTGGGAGACTGTGCCTTTAACTCATGAAATCTAATGCTATTTCTGTTATAGGACAGGGAGAGGGGCAGCCCAAACCCCGCAAACCTGCCTATTCTAAATGGGTTCTGCCATCCGCCGCATCAACACAAAACATATGAGACTTTAATGGGAAGGAACTTTAATAAAAACTAGGAAACAATACAGGTGAGGCAAAGAGTCTAGTTTCTAAATGAAGCACCCAAAGTTACCCGTCCCCTCGTGGGTAAAACTCCATCCATATGGGATCGGCCCAGAGCAAGGCCCCAAAGCCTGCCACAAGTCTAAAGCATCTTCCAGTGGGGACCCACAGAAAAGGGCCAGAAACAACCAGACAAGCCCGGAAGGAAAAGAGCAAAATCAACATCAAGATAAAAGCTGCCATTGTCACCTCCCCATGGGTCTCACCCACATCTGTGTCACCCCGTCCACGACCAAAAGACAAGCGCAGCTTCTTCATGTGTCTCTAGGCTCCATGTGCCTCCTCCAGGTCTCCTGGCTCCATCCTGCTTCCTTCCTTCCTTAGTCTCTTCTGCCGCTTCTCCTCTTCCTGCTCAGCTCCACCCTCCCTTGGGTGGGGCAGGGAACCTCCCCCTTTCCTGGGGACCACCCTGTTACATTTCCAAGTAGATAGGGGCAGATTTGAGTTGAGTTCTTGGATACCCTGCTGGTGACCAAGAATTGCTTGTTGGTTTGGGGAAGCCTCAGCACCCATATAACCATTGGAGTTCTGTCTGGGTACCCAATTACAAAGGATCATTTTTTAATTTTTTTAAAATATTTATTTATTCATTTATACAAGAACCCAGGTACAGGTCAGATGCATGGGAGGGTGAGAAGATTCACCAGAGACAGAGCAGAAAACAGAACAGGCAGACTGACGAAATACACTGCTGAGGGGAGCGGTGGGCGAGGCAGGAGAGGTCTGCTGTGCCATAAGAATTGAACTGGCACTGCAGAGGTTGGACAGCTTCACAGGGGGTGCTCAACTGCCTGCGCCACCAGGCGAGGCCCTCGTTTTTTTAAGTTTTTTCCTAGTTTACAATTCTCCTTTTCTCAGAGAATGGCACCTATTCTTCAGTCGTGCATTCCTGATATCTACGTTGGCATTAGCCTCATGAAAGAGGGGAAATATGGTCCAAACAAGGCCAAACAAAACCTTTTCCCTAGAATGTAGAAATGGAATCTAGAGGTAGGTCAAATTCTGAAAGGATTTGTAAAAGTCACATTAAATAATACTGGGAAACAGCTATCAGAATATATCAGATTAAGAATCATTTAAAATAATAGTTATAAAGGCTTTCTGAACACTTACAGCTAAAATTAGAAATTCTTGATATCCTGCTTTTCACGAAGATGGCGCCGAAAGCCAAGAAGGAAGCCCCTGCCCCTCCCAAAGCCGAGGCCAAGGCAAAAGCTTTGAAGGCCAAGAAAGCAGTGCTGAAAGGCGTCCACAGCCATAAGAAAAAGAAGATCCGCACTTCACCCACTTTTCGGAGGCCCAAGACATTGCGACTCCGAAGGCAACCCAAATATCCGCGGAAGAGCGCTCCCAGGAGAAACAAGCTTGACCACTATGCCATCATCAAGTTCCCTCTTACCACTGAGTCAGCCATGAAGAAAATAGAAGACAACAACACACTTGTGTTCATTGTGGATGTCAAGGCCAACAATCACCAGATCAAACAGGCTGTGAAGAAGCTCTATGACATTGATGTGGCAAAGGTCAATACCCTGATCAGACCTGATGGAGAAAAGAAGGCCTATGTTCGACTGGCTCCTGACTATGATGCTTTGGATGTTGCCAACAAAATTGGGATCATCTAAAACGGACTCCAGCTGGCTAATTCTAAATACAATTTTTCACCATATAAAAAAAAAAAAAAAAAAAAAAAAAGAAATTCTTGATATCCTGTAAGATAAAAACACTGAAGAACATGGCTAATATTTATTGAATCCCTACATTGTATTGTTACAGGGCAGGGAGAGGGGCAGCCCAAACCCCGCAAACCTGCCTATTCTATATAGGATTCTGCCATCCGCCGCATCAACACAAAACATGAGACTTTAATGGGAAGGAACTTTAATACAATTAAGAAACAATACAGGAAAGGCAAAGAATCTAGTTTCTAAATCAAGCACCCAAAGTTACCCGTCCCCTCGTGGGTAAAACTCCATCCAAATGGGTTAGGCCCAGAGCAAGGCCCCTAAGCCTGCCACAAGTCTAAAGCATCTTCCAGTGGGGACCCACAGAAAAGGGTCAGAAACAACCAGACAAGCCCAGAAGGAAAAGAGCAAAATCAAAAGATAAAAGCTACCATTGTCACCTCCCCACGGGTCTCTCACCCACATCTGTGTCACCCGGTCTATGACCAAAAGATAAGTGCAGTTTCTTCACGTGTCTCTAGGCTCCATATGCCTCCTCCAGGTCTCCTTCTGGCTCCATCCTGCTTCCTTCCTTCCTCAGTCTCCTCTGCAGCTTCTTCTCTCCCTGCTCAGCCCCACCCTCCATTGGGTGGCGCAGGGAACCTGGAACCTCCCCCTTTCCTGGGGACCACCCTGTTACAA